TTCAATAAACCTAAAAAAACAATATATATTTTACGAATATTTGTAAAAAAAAATATATGAGGATCTTTAAATTTTTGCTTCACTTAATAGAATCATCATGAAAAATAAATAGAATCATCCTAAAATTCATTCTCAAATTTCATCTTTCTTTCCATTTCAAATAATTTAGACTAATCCAATCTCTATAATAATAGAAAATATTAGTTAGAGAAAACCCATAACGAGATATTCAATGATATTTTCTTATCCCGACGAGCCGCCGCGCAAACAACGGAAGAAAGAGAAATAATCTGAAATCTTGCCAGATTTTTAAACATGCATTCCCCGTATCCGACCCGCTCTTTCCATTTTATTTATCTTTCTTAGGTTATCTGCGCAGCGGCTCGCAAGAGCGTTAAAGATTTTAATTCTCCGTCCCGAGATAATCCATTCCTATGCAGATAATCGAAGAAAAAGAAATGCTTCAATCTCGAGAAATTTCAATTCGCGCAGCCTCTGCATCTTTCCGGGCTTTCCGCCTCACTTATCTCTTTTTAGCTACTTGGCTCAGAGAAAATACAAAATTCCGTAGACAGATACGCTCAGTCTATAAATTCTATAGGATTTTAATTCTCCATCTCGGGCCTCTGCTTTCCGCGCAACAACTGCGTAACTACTCGCGCCTTCCTTACCAAAAATAACGAATATTCTAGAGCATATAATTTTTCCGAAGCACTCTAAAATCTCCGAGATTTTAGAGCCTCCTAGGGAGCTCGCAGATAATCATTTTGAAAATTAGCCAGAATATCTATTCGCGTGCGAATGAAATAATCGCAAATGACCGCGACATTACTTCGAATTCCTCATTCCTCAATTTCGATTCTTCAAATATTCATGACCTCTATTCTATCTTCCAAATCTCGACATCGTGAAATCACCAATTCCCAATTTTTGAATTCCCTGATTTTTTTCAATCTGGCTTAAACCGATTAAACCAAGTAGAACACTTGGATTCGGCAGTCGACTCACGTCATACCAAGGAAAAAAATCGCCCGAAATCCTTGGGTCTGGCTTCTGCCTACAAGTCCTTATGTCCCAAGAGCCCGAAAAGTGGATATCAAAAATTAAGAACACTTAGTTTCCTCCTAAGATCATAGGCTTAATGACATTGCACCCAGCTTTCGCTGCCCGGGCTCCCTATCATTGAATAATTGAATTGCCCACGAACTAGTGAGGATCAGAAAGATGAACTCTGAATAACATCTACTGGTAGAAACCTAAACCTATAACCCCAGAATCAAAAACCCATTTATATATCCGAAGCCCTTTAAGGCCCTACAAGGGGGATGCAGCCCGGCTTCGGGGTAACTTCCAAGAATGAGATCCTAGCTTTTTACTGTGCCCCTACCCTAATAACGAAATTTACACATTACTTTAACCTGTTTTTGTCCTTTAAGCTGACTGAATGTTGACCTAATAATGCCTAATAGGTTTAGGAAAAACCAGGACCACCGAACCTATGTGTAAAAGAGGCAAATTGTTCGCTTCCAGAATCTACCCGATTTCTTTCAAAATTTGCGAATAACCGATGATATAATATTAATGAATTAACTCTGCTTGTTTTTTTAAAAAAATATATTTCTTCTGATTTTCTGAAGTTCTTGGTCACTGGGACCATGTCCTCTGGGAGCTTGGCACAACGGCGAAGTGACTTTCTCTTCCTCTAGCGAAGTAAACGAACAACTTCCGTGACATGTCGCGCTCTTTTTTTGATGCGTCAAAGCAATTCTCCCTTCCGGGAGCAGCTGGTTTTCGCAAGTCCTAGGGCGAAACTTGCTTGAAATTCAACAACCCCTTCGTGGGTGTGCTTTCCTTGGCTTGGGCTGTAAACACTGTGAATTACAGCATGTGGGACGATTTTCAATGCTTTTTGAAGGCAGATGAAGCTGTTGAGGATGTAGCAAGTTACAGCATTTGGCGATGGGAACAGGCTTCTAAGGTGTACAAGCATTACTTCGATCTGCATTCGGGGCTGTTGCAACAAAGTGTCGGTAAGGATTGAAGCTCTATGAAAACCGCATAGCTATGCAGGAGACAGGGTTGTAAATTGCAAGCTTGACATGAAATGACTATTAAGACATTCAGCAATGTGCACACACACAATTCTTTTGTCTCCACCTGATGGACGTTTCTGCCCTCACAGTCTGTGTGCTGTAACCTTGGGTCTTGCCAGGATTTGCGTGGGTACATGTGCATGACTGTCCACAAGTCTGACCTTCACAGTTAAGCCGTCCCGTATAGACCGATCGTTTCGGTATACCCGCAGAAATGTGGGCAACCTATAATGCATCCAATCGCACACCTGCGCTGACCCTTATGCTGACAGCCGGTTTTTGCGAGTGTCTTGGGAGCTGAAAACGATGGGTGGGCCAAGACGATGGGTCTGTCCTGCGAAGGTCAGACCTGTGGACAGGATGCATATCGGACGCTGTCAGCATGAAGGGCAGCGCAGGCATGCCATTATATGCATTATAGGTTGCCTGCTTTTCGGCGGATGTACCGAAGCGATCGGTCTGCACTGGACGTCAGACTTGTGGACAGTGAAGCATATCGGACGCTGTCAGCGCAAGGGGCAGCGCAGGTATGCAATTATATGGGCTATAGGTTGCCTGCATTTCGGCGGGTGTACCGAAGCGATAGGTCAGACTTGTGGACAATGATGCATATCGGACGCTGTCAGCGTGAAGGGCAGCGCAGGTATGTGATTAGATGCATGTTAGGTTGCCCGCGTTTCGGCAGGTGTACCGAAGCGATCGGTCTGTACGGGACGGCCTACCTGTGAAGGTCAGACCTGCGGACAGTGATGCATATCGGACGCTGTCGGCGCAAGGGGCAGCGCAGGTACGCGATTATATGCAGTAGGTAGCTGCATGTAGGTGAGTGTACCGAAGCGATCAGTGTGTACGAGACGGCCTACCTGTGAAAGTCAGAACAACTCCCATTAAGGTGGAGATGTTATCCATATGCCATATGCCACGTCGTCGTCTAAAAGAGGCTGCAAGCACGAGAAGAGAAACTTCTCCCGGACAGGGTCAAGATTTGGTCAATGCTTGGCAACAGAAATGCTTGGCGTTGTGGCCTCAGCACTGGGACGCCACACTAGGGTCACACAGCGGTTCGCAGTTTTAGGAAAAAGGAACCCCCCACCCCCATGACATGAAAACAGTTCGGAGCTTCGATGAGCTCAATAAGTTATGGACGCAAATTGTGGGGAGTTCCTGGAGGATTCCAACAACCTCGGCGCCCGACAAGGGGAACCCGTGGCAGCACATGGCGCCGGCGTGCGATGACCGCACGCCGACATTCCAAAAAAAGTCCTGAAGCATGTCCCCTGTCCAATTAAATCTGGGCTGTTCGCATGAAGGATTGCACTCATGATAGGAGGCCAAGCCAGCTTTGGCCTCAACCAAAACTGAGGCCGTTTGACTGCCACTCCATCCCTCCCTCCAGGCGCTGGCTCCGGCTCACTCTCCGGGCTACATTTGCTGCCCTGAGCAGTGCTATCCTTCGCTTCCATAGCAGGTGCGGGGACGCTTTTCTGTTGCTACATGCCTGTCCAGGCAAAGCCCCTCGCCTAGGCGGCCCACACTCTTGCGAGTAAAACCTATGAACTCGCCAAAGCTTTTCATGTGTCAAGGACCACGGGGCCATTGTCTTGGAATCGACCAACATGTGTACCGAGCATGTGGTTAAAGGAAGCAAGCAGAACGTGTACCAGCACAAAGTTGTAATAGAGTATGTCGTCGCCTGAATGCAACAAGCGAGGCTCCGGAGCTTCACATCTGAAATGGCCGAATCAAGAACTCAGCTTGAACTATCAGCTTCAACACAGCACAAAAAAACAACAGGAGAAGAAGGCCACAAAAGCTAGAGGCAGCAATGGAACACGGAGAAGAAGCCATGCCGTTCCAGGGCTGAGGTGTCGAGCAAAAGCTTGCGACTGAAATGCAATTGCAAGCCTTGCTTCAGGGCCTGGGGAAGGGGGGCCATAAGGGGGAGGGCCCCCACTTCCCTTGAATCGATTCGTTGAAGGCTTTTTTGGGGTAGAGGAGGCTTGTTATTCATTGAAGCAATATTTAAATGGATGGAGGCCACCCCCGCCGACCTTCAAAATTGATTCAACAATTTCACGATTGACCCAGCGCCACGTTTTCACAGACCTAGAGAATCTGTAAACGAGAATTACCACAGTCTCCAAGGGAGCTAGCATTCGTGACTGTGTTTAGCTTGGCCATTGACTCCAAGTCAGAAGACCGCAAGCTTCAAGCTACATGAGCCCCAGCACAACCAATCGCAAGAGGAGCTCCTGCCATGCTTGTAGCGACGTTGAACAGATTCAAGCTCTTTGAGCATGTCCGACCCTTTCCCTCATGTTACCTATCCTTCCAGAATCTTTGCGATGTGTTCAACCCAGATCGCCTATCCCAAAAAACTGGGCTCTCTTTCATATGGCTGCTGATTCCAAGCCAGGCAGGTCCCATCATCACCCGGATGCCGAACAGAAGCAAAAGAGTCGCGGTCCTCGAGGAACATAATCTCTGAATTTGAACAATGCCTTGGTACATCTTGTGATAATCATGGTTTTGCATGACCTGGTATGCTGAAACCTTTCTGAGGCAGGGGCACCAAATTCACCTGGGCTTAGCACTGAATCTTAGATTTTGACTGTCCATTCTGTACTACAGCAGCACAGGGTGGCTTGGTTCCCTGCTGAAGGCCTTCCGCTTATGTCAGCGGTATGGGTAAGGCACCTGGTCACACATTGACTTGGTTCCAGGTGCAATGGACTTGAAGCTGGCTCGTTTGCACGAGCAGTTTGAATGACAAATCCGCGAGACTACCTGTGCCTGTGCGACTGGTTGGTACAGAGGTGTCTGGAGAGGCATGTAAGACGGCTGAGACCTCAGGCAATGCTTCTGTTCGCAAAAAGCATTGTGAAACACTTCTTTGGGGCTGAGAACCCGCTGACTTGGTACTGGCCATGCCTCAGGCTTCGAATCGCCTCGACAGTGCTGGATCTGGTGTCAACGTCCTTCAAATAACTACTTGAAGCGTTGTGCTTACAGAGAATCGAGAGCCTCTGCTCCAGAACTTTCGATTTGGGAAGCCATGTGTTGCGACAAGGCCTCGGATGCTCGTGTATCAGCAGCTGGTCCTGCCCACATGTCCTTGCGGACTGCTGCACTTTCTTGCGTGACCTGGCCATCACCGGATACCTTCAGAACCAAAGCCTAACACGAAATATGTTTGAGATTCCTTCAACGCCACAAACTCCACAACCGATTCAGGGGGCTGCCGTCGTGTGCTACGTACATTGTAATAACTTCTCAATTCAATATGTCTTTGTGGAGGATCCCCTGACACATCCCCGAACAACATTTGACCTGCTCAGGTACCCGCAAGTAAGGATGCATCAGCAGGTGCGACCATGCCAGCAACAACTTGTGTTGGCGCGATCTGCGCTCCAGGCCTTAACAAATGCAACAAGTCTGTGAACAGCACAGGTCTATGATGGCAAAGAACAACTTACTCTGGTGCAAACAAGGCAGGCACATTGCAATGCTGCCCTGATACCCTTGCAGACTTGTGCCGGCAGTGGGGCTGCCAGATTGCACGCTTTGCACTTGCGGCCTTGGCAAAGCAGTTGGACATTAATTTCCAAAAAAACATTTGCGACATCAGAGACAACATAGGCTGCGGCTTTGTTCTGCTGTTGGTCTGCAGAGGTAATGAATACTGCTGAATAGGCACCAGCGGCGCGACTGATGCCACTTGAGGCCTCGAGCACAAGATTCAAAAGCTGAGTCACCTGATTCTTTGGCCTCTTAGACTACTTGCGCTCAGCTCACAAAGAACGCTGCCGCTGCCATATGCTGCCATATAACCGATATGCGTGGGATGTAGTTTGTCTCAACACTGGAGACAAGGACGATCATGACACCAAAGGTAGCTTTATTTTTGGACGTGAGATAAGAACTTTATTTATTTTTTTTTATTCATTTTTTTTTTTTTTGAAATTTTGGACGTGTACAGGAACGTTTGCCCTCAGGACGTCTGATGGGCAACCAGAGCATCAGCAACCAAGCAAGCTACTCCGAGCTCAACAACAATGAAATCCCCAGATTTAAATGTCTTGCTTTGGGTGAAAGACTACTTGAAAGGCAGAGCGACGGTGCTGAAAATCCCATAATGTTCATACCCAAACAAAACAACAGCAAGGCTTTTGATTTCAATTGTCTTCTTAATGGGTTTTAAACAGATTTCGATTGATTTTCAAATGATTCTGAGTAGCTTTCAACTGTTGCAACTTAGATTCTCCAGCTCACTTAATTTTTTTTAGGCTGAGGGAAACTCATCTGTACTCATCTGTTTGGCTGCTCTGAGAACGAGACTGGCCAGGCTGATTCTGACACTTGATTTGCTTACTCAACTATATCAGCCTCTTGCGGCCCTTGCGTGCGATGGCCTCTCCTCATATCCATAGGAACTCCCTGTAGAATCACAAAATAAGCTCCGGAGTTATTCTGTGGAGGTCCACTTGTTTCATTGCTCATGCGGTGGCTTTGTTGTTGAAGAGCTCGGATTAAGCCTTGCCAACGAAGCACCGATTAAGAAATTGAGTCTCTCGGCCAGCTGCAACATGTAAATTGCATGCGAAGCCTACGCGTCGAGGGGACTTTGAGCCTTGTCCCGACAGCTATTGATTTTGCCTTGGTCTTTGTCGTTGATTTCGGACCACCGAATTTCTAGCCTGAACTCTTGGATTTTGAGACGATGCTGTCTGAGAGATCTCAGAAACCGAGCAGCTTGCCCACATGGAGCCTTTCGAATTTGCTCGAGAGAGCTCGAGCTCAATTTCTTAATCTGGGCTTGGACGATTTACTCGCTTTCTTCTTGCTGAAAAGTCTTTGCCTGTCACACTATATGAATGCTTCCGGTAGGTGATGGTTGCAACGTTCGAGGATCATTTTGTGGTGCAAAAAATTGGCCAAGTCGAGAGCGGCCGCTGTGTGACTTTTTGGTATTGCAGCACATGCACTATCAAAATCCAGGCGTCTCTGTTCAAGCCTAGGGTGTAGTTTTCTTCGGATCCACCTGCTGGCTACAGACGACCTGTTAGAAGCCCACGAGACATTTCTGTTATTTGATCCAGTGAGTGTCAGAGACAAGAGGTGACAGTTTCCCGCATTCTTTCCTGTTCGCTTGCAATAGCTGCCTTTAAGTAGGCCTATTACGGGAACGGGCGACAGTGAATGCGGATCTTGCATTTCTGGGTAACATTTATCGGGCCGTTTCTGTGGTGCCGCACACTACAAGTACAAGATTTAGTAAAGAAAGGAGGAAACTGCAGCACATCGAAGGCAGCGGAGGAGCCGCACTCGAGCCAGAACCGACTTTGTTTCGAGTTTATACATTAGGCGGGACAATGAGTTCAGAAAGAATACATAGTGCCATGCACGTATTAGGTTCACATCACTCCAACAGCGGCCTTCCTCGCATAGCGTTGGACAGACTGACCTTGCAGGAGGGACATTACAACATGTCAGGAGGCAAGGGGCAGGACGGCAATCAGAGCTGGAAGCTTGCCTATTGCAAGCAACATCAAAAAAAGGGGGCTCTGTTCTGGTAGAATTGTGGCTGGGCAAAGCAGGATGTTGCCAAATACTCCGAGAATTGGTATGGTCAAGGAGGAGTAACTTCTTGGCAGAAGGGTTGGGAACAGCTCAAATCACCAAGAGCACAAAGACCTTGGTCTCCCAGGCAAAGGCAGCCAGAATCGCAGCTTTGGGGACATGCGCATGAACAGGGACAGGGCCAACTAGAGAAGGGCAAAGGCAAAGGAAAAAGCAAGGGGAATTCACAGCCGCCCCTACAAGTGTCGAGAAGCCAACAAATCAACGCCAAAGGCGAACGTTGCATCATCATCATCATCAGCAGCTACAAGCATCTGGGCTCTCAGCGAGGGGCCCTGAGGAGTTTTATTACTGCTTCACTTGCCTCTAGCTATTCAGTTGTGCTCCAAGGTCCCATACGCTCATTGAGTGTTTTGTTTGGATTGAATAACACAGTATCCTTCGGCGCCATAGCGGCAGTGCATTGCAACCATTCTTCCGGTTGAACGTCTTCGCTTTCGCATCCTAGAGGAGATTTCCGAGTACCTCTTTGAAATAGAAGCCTTCGGAGACGAACTCAGCAATTATCAACACTGTGGCACTTGACTTTAGGCGGGGCCTCACAGGCACCGAGCTGCTGATTTTTGCTAAAGAGGTGCTGCCAACATCGCACGCAAGGCAGGTTGAAGCGCATATCGCATTGGAATACCCGCTGCTTTATTCTTCAATTCTGACTTCGATATCGTATGTCCCGGAGCCATGATCAGGAAGAACAACATCAGGCATGGGTCGAGTATGTGCGTGAAGTTTATCGCCGTGCTTGCTCTGAGCTGGCTTTTCTGGACATGGGAGAACTGGCAGTACCGAACAAAGTTCGATCTTCTCGAATGGCCTGGCTCAGAAAACGGCTGGAAGACATGGAGCCCGAGCAGGTTGCACACGCAGTGCGCCCCTACCTCCAGAACAAGAAAATCCATCTGGACAGAGTCACTGATGCCTGGAAGCAATATGTGTCAGAACCTTTTGGACCGAACGACACATATCACGATACGTATTGGAACGCGCTCGACTGCGAGAAGGAAAAGCAGGTCGTTGCAGCAAGCCATGAACTGCTTCGGCAACAACTGCTTGAACAATTTGATCGAGAGACGGCAGAACTTCTGTGTGACAGCAGTTTCCATGCGTTATCTGGATTTGCGTGCCAATCAGGACTTCTGTTCAGACTCATGCAGCCGCTGCAAAGAGCAAAGATACTGGAATATGCCAAGCTTGGCAAAGCTATTCTGCAATCAGGTGAAGAAGCAGCACTGCCAGTCAAGAAGCGAAAACTTTAAGCTCCCCCAGGGCCAACTATGGTTGGTAAAGACTATTCAGAGCCTCCCCGGTCCTGATTCCGGGGACAGGAGTTCCAGCCGCCTTTTGGATTGCAAGCGAGCCTTAACGGCGAAGAACAACAAAACTCCTGTAGATGTGAGGGTTGGAGGTCCTGATGGTCAACAGCCTCCTGGAGCACACCAAGCTAATCCTTTGCAGCTCGACAAGAAAGCAAGCCATTTTGACCATTCTACTCAATTCGTGACTCCCCAAGGGATTCTTTTGCATGTCAGCTACAAGTCCCAACTAGTAACCTATACAGATGGAGTAGGCATTGCACCCTGCAAACCAAGCAGCCCCTATCAGGTATCACAATGTCGTTTCTCTCCTGCGGCTCTCACAGGCATTCTGATTCTACTTTTGTGCCTACTAAGCGTACCCAAAACAATGCCCAGCACAAATAGCAACTGGAAGGTCACTAGGCTCTTCAAGGGAGCCTACCGCAGAAGGCGCCTTACAAGTCCTCAGCCCCTTTGTCCCCAAATTTCCCCGACACCCGCAGCCAGGAAGTCATCGGTCGGCAGACCTTCAGCCAGCAAAACGCTGCTGATACTGCTAGTCTTGGGGACGCTTCAAGTTGCAGGCGCAATGCCCAGGTCGCAGTTTGATTCCATAGGCATTCGCACACAGCATGCCCAAGGTTTCAGCAGGCTTGATTCCAAGAAGACCTCCTTCCAAAATGCCCAGCGTCGTGCTCTTAATACGGGATCCGCAATATATAGGGGCAGACACATGACTGCCAAGCAATTAGGCGTTGTCTGGACCTCGCCGACAAAAGCAAGAGCTGTAAAGGACAGGCCCCAACAAATCCACCACCCAAAAATTAGATTTGTAACGTGGAACGCAGGAGGCCTCAACCATGCTCGACAGTCGGAGCTCAGGACATGGCTTGAGGAAGAATCTCACACCAATCCAGTTCATGTGCTCTGCATCCAGGAGACACACTGGCCCAAATCGCGTGAGTACAGAGACGGCATATGGACATGCATACACTCCGGTTCGGGTTCCAGAGAAGGGGGTTGTACTAGTCATGCTGCACACTAAATTCTTTCAGGGTATAAGTGTCAAGCATGCAGAGGTAGAATCAGGTCGATTATTGCAAGTTCGGTTAGAGAGCAATCCATCAATAGACATTCTAGGGGAAAACAAACACGCTTGGAACCTGGCAAAAGGGGAGTTTCAACATCAAGCTCAGTCTCCTGAGCAATTGCTTTTGCAGAAGCGGCAAGGAATCTGGCGTAAGCTTCAGGGTTGGGTATCCAGCATCCCCAAAAGAAACCAAATGGTACTTCTAGGGGATTTTAACTCTTCTCTCCAGCCTCAGCTCCCCAACATTGGTTTAGGTGTAGGTCCTGCCCACCTACATAAGAAAGACAGCCAGTCTTTGCAATCGCTCGTTTGCCACGCCGGACTCAATGTCGTCAAGTCCTGGAGCAGGCCAGGCCACGTTCTGGACCCATAGGGGAGAGGGATCACAAATAGACTTTATCATAGTGAGAAATCCCTGTAATCTCTCAGAGATACAAGCAGAGCCCTTACATAAATCCCCACTGGTTCACCCCACAGGTTTTAGGCATGTACCTGCGCGTTGTTACCTCCGATGGCCAGAACCCCCTAAGCAGAAGAAGTCTGCTGCAGCCTTGACGGCAGTTAGGGTCAACCAAGTTTGCAACAGTTCGCCGCATGTAGTTGAGGCCTTTCGTGAACGCCTCCAACAAATGCAGCGCACGGCAGAGCAGTTGGATTCCCAACTTTGCGAAGCATGGTCTCAATGCCAGCCAGCAACAGTCAC